CTTGTGGTTCAATAACACAATGTTTTGACTGTTTCACATAATACTTCGGCGAAAAACAACATAGCACGTATAGAGGTGTTCTGACAGATTTTGAATGATTCATACTGGCCGAACTGTGAATGCTCGGCTCCACGGTGGAATTCGAATCCACGCAGTAAGGGGAAGGCTTTCGTACAGCCAGCGCTCTAACGACTTGAGCTACAAGGCCCCGCCGGACAACGGACGATGACTGTGCTTGCGTGATTGTTCACATACTGCTTGAAGTACTTCAGAAACAATTATTCATGCGTTTATTTTTGTTATACCACATATAAAACAAAAAAAAACACTTGCAGTTTGCAGACTACTCTGAACATGCATGTTGTGTCCAACTCGGTTGACAATGATCTCTTCAAAATCCTTTATGTATTGATGTCTTTTTCGACGTTTGCGCAACCAATTGGAATTCCAAAGACGCTTGAATACCTTTTCCCTGATAAAAGTTAAACCGATCTGAACTGAGTTGTTAACGTAACGCGCCAAAAAAACATTCAGATAAGCGATAGATGGAAGCAAATATTAAAGTGTTCTGCTGGGTTTGGACGATGAAAAGTTGCTCCGAACACAGCGACATTGCATAGTTTTTGAAGACACGAGAGTAGGAAAATCTAAAATGACAAGAACAAGGCTGGACATATCCCTCAGTTCTTCAAGTCCGTCGTGACAACTGAGCCCGATTTTTTCCCATCCACTTGTGGAGACGAAGAAACGCCCACCATTGAAACCGTCTACTTCACCGGCGCAATCGTTCAGAAAGCGTTTCTAAACCTCAGAGAATCGACCCCATCAGGCCCTGATGCTATCCCGGCCCAGCTACTGAAGGGGTAAGCTCTGGAAATGTCCAAACTGTTGGCCTTGCTCTTCTAAACGTCATTTGCTACCGGGTGCCTGCCTTCCGACTGGAAGCCCGCTACTAGCATGCCGCTTCTTAAGGTTGGAAATGAGTCTTACCTCCATCTGCTGCAAAATCATAGATGAAACCAGTGAAAAAGCGTTTACACAGTTCCTCGAGCAGCATCGCCTTCTTTTAGATGCCCAATACGGCTTTCGCAGTAGTGGGTGCTGTCCTAAGAATCCACTCTTTTCCCTCGAATACTGGATAAAAGCACTCGACAAAGGCAACACGCTGTATCGACTCCAAAAAGCCTTCGACAGCATTCCTCATCGACGTCTCTTGCATAAGCTACGCAGCGCAGGAATTTTCAGAAGCCTCCTTGTGTGGATCCAGAGCTTCTCGACTAAATGGTTACAATGAATGCAGGTCGGGCGCCAACAGACTGCAGAGATAAGCTCGGTGTATGGCGTAGCACACGGCTTGGTATTAAGTCACACGTTATTCCTCGTTTTCATCAATGACCGCGTCAGGAACCTAAACTGTGGTGCTATCCTGTTTGTTGGCGATATAAAACTGTGGAAGTTTATTCACAATGAGGCAGACGGAGACCACTTACAAACAAACTTCAGCAGACTGGAGGAGTTGTCGAAGAGCTGACTTATGCCATTCACTGCGAGTAGGTGCTACTTCCATCAACTCGACAGTTGCAAAGCCTACAGCCCCAGGACTCACATTCTTCACGGCACACCACTGCAACAAGTTGACAGTCAGAAAGACTTGGGTGTGTGAACTACATCTTGGCTCAAACTAACACTCTGCGTGAAGGCGGCTAAATTTACCATGGATACATTGCACTTCATTAGGTGAGCTTTTATGAGATTTGACACTGACTGCTTTTCCAAAATACTTGGCACATTCGCGCTGCCGCATCTAGAATACGCAATACAGGCATGGAGACATTGTATGGTCAATGGCTTTACCGTTTGAGAGAAGGTCCAGAGGCGAACAAAAAAACGGCAAAAGGATTGGGAGCTCCGCTCTATGAAAGCAAACTGGCAATTCTCAATCTGTTTTCCTTTTCCTACATGCAACAACGCCGTGACCTTATACTAACATTCCGATTTATAAACGGCTTAGACTATTGCTTAGATCCTAGTGCTTACTTCACTCAAGCTTACACGCCGACATTGGGCGGTCAGCCTTTAAAACTACACACAGGTAGAGCAGGAATAAATGGATAAGAGTTTTTTAGTAAATGGTCGGTTGAAACGTTAACAATCTTTGTCAACTTTTAACTTATTCGCGGTTTTTCTCAGGCAATCTGTAATCTATAGAGATCCCAATGCTCTCGCCTACCTTTACCTCATAAAATCCGAGCTCAGCTGAACTGACAACTTTGAAGTCGCTCCTCAAGCATGCAATGTTTTAAATGAGGCCAATTAAAAGCGAATAGGTTATTTGCCTGGGTTTTTATTGGGAGCTTGACAGAGCATATTCAAGCTCATCTCCGTGACTACGTTTGGCCGATTTGGCCACATATCGGCTGGTGGGGAGCGATCAGTTATAACTTTCTTTATTGGGTCAAGAGCCTCCTCATGGGTCGGTACCAGGTTGTATGAATTGGTCAACAGTGGGTTTCGCCATAATTCAGTGCTGAGACCCACTTTTCCAGATATACATTGACATTTAGGCAATATATTTGGCTTGTGACGCAGCAATATTTGTTAACGACATGAAAAGTTAAAGTCCATTTTGGGGCCCTGCTTGCAAAGATAGACAGACCATCAACCTAAATCGGTCGAAGGTGCGGTCAGATCGTTGACTCAGGCGGCTCGACGCCTATAAATGAACTATACCTCGCCAAGGCGATCTAGTCAACTCAAACATCACTTCAGACAACTTTCTCCTTTTTTCAGTTTCATAATAAATTAAGGCTTAAAAAGAAATTTTGGTGCAGACGACGATCTCGTTAGAATTGTCTTCTTGTTACTTCAGAATGACAAAAAACTCAGTATCCATACTGCACTTCATAAAGAGCATTAATGGACTTCGACAAAGACGTCTTCTATAAGATCCTCGAAGCATTTGTAAGGCCGCGTTTGAAATACGTCATCCAAGCCTGGAAATCGTGGGCTGACCAAAATCAAATTAGTCTCGAACGATTTAAAAGGAGGGCCCTAAAACGGTCAAGGATCAAGGTACTTTTTTCCTATTTAACACGCCTGACACCTTTGAGCCTCCTTCCCTCGGAACCACACGGGAATGTTGCGAGATCTCTTAACACCATTCCGCCTTTCGATGGGTATAGATCGAGGCCTGGCTTCTAAGGGCTTTGTAGCTATGCTATGAAAACCAGTTCCCAAAGTCATCAATGAACACTGCGCCCATGAAGGGCGGATCGAGCAGGCAGTAAAAAACTCATGGGAAGACAAATGCGTTGTAGAGTTTTCGGGGATTTGAATTAGTTCAGGCGAAAAGAAACTGCAGCCCGTGAAATGATGGCATTCAGGAACGGAAATAGCTGGCACTAGTGCAAAGGAAATTTTCCTTGTCAGTTTCTTTTCAAGGAATTCGAACTCCTCATCTCACATAGATGCACGTATAAATATTTATTCAATGTCAGGTGGACATTTATCTGCTGGGTTTCGGAATACAGAGTTGGCATCATTTCCTTCAAGATGGCAGAGGGATCAGACACCAAGAACTCCATTACTATGGAAGAAGAATTTGGTGGATTCAGCACCGTAAACTTGTAGACACTGTTCTGAATGAAGAAAACGACTGCTATTTCGCTCTAACAATCGAACTTTTTGCGGAAATTTTGTATTCTTGAGTAACTTATTCCAGATTGCAATTGCGTTCACAGAAGAAAAATAGCGATGGTTAAATGTGTATGCAGATGTAACAGATAAAAAAACGCGTGGAGACATTTGTGCCGTGATTAATTAAGATGCTTCAAAGTAGCAAAAACATCAGAATTATGACGACCTCAAGGTTTAAACAAGGCACAAATATTTAGGGGTTGCGATTCTACAACGTCCATGTTGTGTCAAACTCCGGTGGTCTGTGGTTAAAACTATTTTGGCACTCAAGTTTAAGTTATGTAAAGATGTCGTGGCATCACAATCGCTGACATAAACGGATGATCGGCGATTTTGAGATGAAATGGATAGAAGACAAAACTGTGAACACATATATGACTTCCGAACTTGCGTAGAGAACGTATATGTTCAATGCTGCAATGTTTTGACACCATGGACCAGACTAGATATTTCCCTCGGTCTATCGTTAGTATGACAGACTCCCTGAGATTTCGGCTGCATGTTGGGTGTATATTTTAGCAGGAGGGACGGGGAATCAACTACTGCGCAAAAATGACACAATTGGTTTTGCTGCATCGCCACTAGTCGATGGACCAGTTGGAAATACATTTTGGTGGTCTGTCGGACGATCGCGGGGAAATACCTTTTAGGGAAAAAATGGATATGTTTGATATGCAGGGCCAAAAGCCTGCTTGGAGTTCTTTCTGGACTAGACACCGATCGAAATCGCCTTAATGTTTCCATGGCGTAAGTAAGAGGTGTGGCTGGAAGCAGTCAATAGTTGGGTTGAGATTTGCCAGAATCAGCCACAGACACATAGCTTCCATATTTATCTACAAACTTACATCGGAACTTCCGGTTTTTATTTCGTCGCTTTGATGCGACAGTATATCACTGCGCATTATAGCACAAATACCAAAATATATTCAAGGTCGCCGTGTATCCTTGGCGGGTTTCTGGCACATCTTGTACGTTTAGCCAATAAGACGTCAATGAGTATTTAAATGGGCATTGGGTAATTTGATTCGATATTTATAAAGTAGAAGACTCAATACAGAGCACTGTCATTCCAGGTACCCTTGTTTGTTTGTATGCATCAAACTAATTTATTTGTTACACCGTATACCTTTGAATTCTTCAATAATTAAGGATGGGCAAGGACAGGCGCAGTAGGAACCGAGGTCGCAGGAGGAGCGAAAGTTCAAGAAGTAGCAGTAGTGTTAGCAGTGATCGTAGCAGGTAATTTTATGTTTTTTACTATTTTTTCTAGTTACACTCGCGACCGCCGTCGGTACCAATCGAAGATGAATTACGGTGATGGATATTATGATCCTAGAGGAGATCCAAGGATGAATGCAATGCACCAACAGTACCAGGTTAGAAAAACCCCGTTTGACTTGTAACGGTTTTTGCCATGCTTATGAGCTGAAATCTTATGCATTTACGCGTAGATAAATATATTTATCTTCAGCATATATGTTGAAGGACGAACGGTTTTTGTAAAAGAAAAACGGAATGGGGCATTATGCAAACTATTAACAAACCGTTTTAAATTCTGCAACAGTCATGGAATAGATACGTTGTGATAATTTGTCTAGCTAACAATAGTTGTGTCTTTTCGTATATTTAATGAGAGTATACACTTAAAAGCTTTTAAGTGCACTAGTAGTAATTCCTACTAGAGCATAAATTGACAGATTTGAAGCAATTGAATTATGACTTAAAAACTTTGTTATTAGACATTCTTATTACAAAAGGTGAAAAAGGAGTATTTTTAATCTCATCTGCTTTAGTTTTTTCTCCAAAAATTTTTCAGACACTTAGGACTCTGTAGCAAAACCCACGTGGTTTACAAAGGATAAGAGGTGCACTCTAATTTGTAGAATTTATTCTCTTTGGTGGATACTATATATTTACAAGACTTAATTTTACAATAACGGTCAGTTTCCGCAGCAACATCTTTCGCGATACAACGGGTATCCTCCGATGGGAATGCCTCAGCCCGGAATGATGAACGGTAGCATGGGTATGCCGGGGATGATGCAGGCTGGGATGATGCAACCAATGGCACCCCAGACGGGTCTTATGCCGTATGGAGCAGCTATACCTCAGATGGGAATGACTCCGCAGGCAATGCCAGGAATGATGCCTTATCAGAGCATGATGATACCTGCCTCATACAATGGCGCACCTGCTTACGGACAGCCAGCAACGATGCCGGGCCAAATGCAACCCACGCCTATCTTCCAGTTTCAGTTCACTCCTGCTAAACAGCAGCCGCAACAACAGGGTAGGAAATAATGCATTGTTTATGTAAGTGAAAAATAAATGCTCAGAACTGCCACAATGAAAGAACTTTTCTGAAGCGATTCTTCCCGGCATCAATAGTGTCAGCCACCTATGATAAAAGTCTGACAACTTTTAGAAACCGAATACAACTACGTAATTAAGTGGATCTTGCAGTGCCTAAACGCAGAATTTCACGCGCGGTTCTATGTCGGTTTCCTGTGTAAAGTTAAATAAACCGCATATGTGGAAAATGTTTCAACACACCTAAGGAGTTGGAGTTAATAAAAAGCTCTGGAAGTTGCTTCGTTAAAAAGAAGCACGCGGACGAGTGAAATACATCCATATCTTGAGATGAACAAACAGTCATCAAAAAGGCCCCATAACCAATGATCTTGGATAAACAAAGTATGAGACCTTGTTTAGTACCTACCCGAGCAGTTTGTAGGACGACACAATGTACTGGTATAAGGAAAAGCTGTTAACTTTAGAGAGGAGAATCTCAGCAAGCGAATAAAAAAGGAGACGCTAGGACTAGAAAAGGCATAAGAGAATCTTAATCGGCATTTTTAATTAGTCAAATCGCATAGTGCGAGAAGCTATGCTTGTGAGGTGCTTATTTTAAAAGTAGAAACACAACTGAAGCATGTCAACATAGACATAAAGTCCATTATCAAAGATATGATATTAAAAAGAAAGAATCTACATCAGTAATTTAGTCGCCAGAGACTTTTAAATAAAGTGGCCGCATGTTTGCAGTTTTTACTTTTCCCCAGACGTCGGTCGCTAGCTTGGAGTAAACACATCAGACTTGCATCTTACGGGTTCAGTCGACTTGTTGATGTAAATGTTTCAAAATTCATCAGCTAAACCAATTTTCATTAACTGTCAATATGCGGATAGCATGTCTTCCGATTTGTCATCCGAACAGCTCTTTATAAGTCAAATCCATCTCGGTAATAGGTTTATGAGACGGCTAACAAAAATACACCAGCTTTCTTTGAACTACTGGCCACATGTCAAATGAACATGCATAGATCTAAAATTTATATTAAATAATATTTGACAAAAGTACGTGAACTTTAACTAGGGCAGATGATTTCATTAGGTTTGAAGTTGAATTCCGGAACACTTTCATCTACCTCAAGGAGATAGTTGGACACGAGGCGAATACTTAAATTCAACTCTAATGAAAGCATTTCGCGTTGTCAACTGGTTTTTCCAATACGATAAGTCGATAAAATATCTGATCGTATCTACCTCATGGTCATATAATGGTGCAAACGCAGACCGAGATCATTTATACCAATTATAGTTTTATAGTCATCTTCAGATAACCTTTTCGCAGGCTAATTCTGCAGATGATCGATTAGTTTTAGTGTAGTCAACAGACGCTTGCGACTTTAAGTTCGTTTTACCATTTTCTCAACGTAACTCGAACTGAAAAGCGGAACTCGCAAATGGGTGATTACTGAGTCTGTTAGGTATGATTATAACGCAGTTTTAAATAGTTATATGGCTTCTTTTTCGAAAGTAAGGTGACCTTTCCAGCGTATGTAAACGTTTTGAAAATTCTCATTTTTCTTTGGTAAAGAGCGGCTACTTTGTTTGATAAGTTCATTATTAGAAAATACGTAAGGAATATTATCCAACCCACATCCAAATCTGTTTAAAATCAAACAAGTTATCCATACAGGGCTTTGCGCAACATATTCAGTTGCACAATGCAAACAGCTGTTTGAGTGTACCTTTCACGTTAGAGGGTGAAGAGTAACAAACTCTTTTCGACTCTTACCTAAAGTAGTTAAGCGATCGTTACCTTACAGCCGGTACCGAGAGCCGAGCTACGCAAATCCAAAAAATACATTTTGGTGTAAGTCAATTCGACTATTTATATTCCGCTTAAAAATGACAAAATCATACGAGCGGTTTGGGTTTAATGTGAGTACATAAATAATATCACCGTAACAAATTTTTTTTAAAAGGATGCAGGGTCTAAATCAAACTATTCCCTGACCCTCGCAACCCCACAAAATATAAAATGCTCTGTCTTTCTCATAAAATCACCCAACGGCTTAGTTGTTAAGGTGTTTTATTTTCTAAGTTGCACAGCTGATTTAAAAGTCGGCATCTGCATCAATATTAGTATCTGCTCTTGAGGACATATGGGCATATGTGTGTCAGCAAAAACATCGAATTATGGAAGTAAGCACATGTCGTGGTTATTAGTGGCCTAAGGTCAGTATACTTAGTGCCTAATGTTTATTGCTGAAAGAAATGTTTTTTCTCCAACAAGCAGCGTAGAATCCAGGAAGGCCGCGCCAGCGGTAATACCGCATCGGGGTCTCTAATCGTTACCGGCCCACTGAACTTGGCATCACCAGCGGGCTATTCGACGTTTTTGCTTTTTTTATTTATCTCTACGACAAGTACACAAATGTGTTTAAAACCTCCGCACATCATACTTTTACTCTGGGTACAGAGCCATCGTTTTGCTCCCTTTTGTGTAAGAAGGTATTTGGTACTTTTTTACATCTGTAAAAATATAAGGTCACCCATTTTCCGAAACGTTTTTGAAAAAAAACAATAAAATATTTCCTTTATGTTTGCCCATGGCGTCTTGGCAAAGGTTTTGACGAATATGAACGTTGTTTAACTTCCACTCTTAATGGCGACTCATCAAAATTGGTAGGCAATTTTATAGAAAGAATGAGCGGACACAATCTACTGCTCGCATTCCTTCTTAATTTCAACGGACAGAGCACTGTCACAAGACCGGGTAGTCTCAGGAGCTCAATCTACCTAGATGCACTACTATGTCCTAGCTGCTATGGTTACGCAAAAATCGCATAAGAAGTTGAAATGACTGGAGCGGAGGCATTTAATAACAAACGATGTCCGGGTGGGTCAAAAAGCACAACATGCGTACACTCGGTCCTAAATTGGCAAAGACTGCCATGGCTGACAGCGGGATTCTATCGTCGTAACTGTTCTCGCTTGTGTTAGCCCCGACGGAATAATTAAACTACTAACCATTTACTAGTAATAGATAGACTACTGTCGGCCATCGACTGATCTCTTCCTCATAGTGCCTTCTTTTCAACAGAAGCGTAGTTTCCTTTTCAATTACCTTTCGTCACTAATCGATACCTCCTACTTCTGTCAGACACTTACGCCTTCGGACTCGAGATGAGTTCCCTCCTTCGAGCATTCCGAACGCGCCACTTGTTCAGCAGAGAGAGAAAAAGAAAATAAGTCACTTAGGTGATTGGGTTACCTGTAGTTCTCTACCTGGGTTCACAAATTTTAATCGTTTTTTATTTATGGAACAAAATTTGACCTTTTACTGAAGTGTCAGTTATAAGATCCTGTCAGATGATATGCGCAGATCTGAAAAGCAAATTAACTTGCAATGGATTTCGCGTGATCTGATACGAAACAGGAGAATTGAATATAATGGCTGTCCACATATTGCAAACGACGCATTTTAACTGGACCGGTTAAGCGGCGGCCAAGAAGTTTAAAAAACCGTAAGATCGCTAAGGCGAAGCATTTTTGAACAACCGGGGTGGAGTTCCGCTCGTAAGTGGCTGTCCAACACGCACTGACAATATAATTATCGCGCCCAGTGACTCCTTTGACGTGGCAGCCCTTGACAACTAGACACGGGGAACCCTTCGCTTTCGTAAACTGCCTGCTAATTCAGGTGAAATGGTAATGCTGAAGGCGGCCATTTAGTTTTGAATAAACATCTGCACTTAAGAGTTGCCAGGATATCTGGTCTGAACAGAACGCCTGTTCTCACATCTGACGAGAGGGGTTCCATAGGATACCCTCATCGAACTGGACAGATCCGATTAGTGGTAGCATGCCAAACATCTCCGTCCAAGATTTGATTTGAAGGCGATCTTGCGGCAACCTAAAACAAACAGCGCACGCGTCACCTAAAGGCGCCTTGCTTAGCAATTTCCCTGCATGCTTACTCGAGTATTATCAAATGGTCCTTCTACTGCATGACTACATGCTCCAGTGATGTTATGATAGGAAGCAATTAGTTCACCACAGTAGTTCATTGTGTCTTCAGCCCAAAAGTACGAGAATCGCAAACGGCACTATCCGTCCTGTCCTGCATGATGCGGTCGGCATAAGATGGTGATTTGAGCGTGAATTGGTTTATAGGGATAACATGCATGCACAGCATCTACCTTACTCACTCAGACCTCATCCTTCTGGGCTCTGTGGCAAGACAGCGTCAGAGGCGGGCGTGAACGCAGTGGCTAACGATTATATAATCGAAAAAGCGCCGATGTGCCTCACTCTATAATCCCTCTTTCATGCATCGATCGACCGTCCGAGCTTGTCGGCCATGTGGCGTTGGTAGTCCTCAACCTACACCAGGAGAACTTTCACAGAGAACCAATGATTAGGGAGGTTTCGCTGATAAGGGCAGGGGGCTAAAGTCACATATTCTGGCAACCTTACTATCGTCGGCCAACAATCGTCGGACCGCAAGCTGAGAAAACCTGGAAATTTAGTGTGAGACAGCTTGGTCAGTGAGCTTAGTACTAGGAGTATGCTCACGGAAACCTGCTTTAGTGTTTTCAGTAAGGAATATGAAAAGTCGCATCTGCAGACTGTTCGCAGACTGTATCTAATTGCAGGAGTTAATATACAGGCGTTGCATTCTCTTGAAGAACTCTAATATCAGGCACTCTACGGTTGCCTTAAAATGGTATCGAGGGGTGCTGTCAGCAAAAACGAGATCAGTTTTGTCTTCCTTGCAATTAAAACAAGCAAAGTGAAAATACGTGCTCAGTCTGAAAACCAAGCCAAATCAATCGACTTTTTCTCTGTATTCCTCAAAATCACAGATTCCAACTCCGGACAAAAACTGCTATTGAAGGCCCAAGGAAAAAATGACGGTCGCGGATTTTTTTCTTTCAAATTATCCTACCACATATCTAAGGCGGCGACAAAGTAAGTTGGCCGTCATTTTCCGCTAACATTGGAGACAAATATTGCCCCCAGGAACTAAAAAGAACCCTTTTGAACTTCGCTTCCCGAGGCCTATGGCGAATGGCATGTTTAACTACCTTCTTAAGTTAATAACTAAAGCAAGTCCACTCGTACGATATTATGGCTGAGTTTCCCTTTCGAACTTTTGAGAGGTATTTTTTCATGACTGGTTTCAGTGTAGGCAAAACTGGCTCTCACATAGCCCGCCGTTTATCGTTACGCCCGACTGAGCGACGATCAGGGTCGTATCTTGATGTCTTTTTTCTCGTAGCTCCATTTTTCATTAAATGCCTCTTCTCCTACCTTTCAGTCTTCTTACGTCTTTTAAAATAGATTTAAAAAGCTACAAAAACAAATGTCGACAAGTCCTCCATTAAGAAGATAACGCTTGGGGGTCCCATTGAGATGACAAGATTTTCAATGTAGGCAAGAGTAGTTTGTGAACATTGTGGGATCAGGTTGAATACAGCCTCCTCACGGACGATTAAGGTGACGAATTATCACAGTAAAGAAGGCCATTTGCAGTAAAAAAATACATTGGAACTTCTTCAAGAATTAGCAAAAAATGTCTCTTATATAATTAACTATTATTAAGGATCTCGAATTTGACGGCGTATGGCCTTAACCAACTTCACCATATCATTCGGTTTCTGTTAATAGTTGACAGGCATATTTGAAAATTTGCCATTGCTAACGAATGGGGCACGCTAATGCACCGGGAAGAGGAACTGTTGGGCTTCATGCAGCCTTGAAAACAGCAGTTACATCGCTCTGGCTTGATTTATACGAGTTCGGGTTCGGACAAGCGTAATAAGTGGTT